GTCATTCAGACTTCAGCTTAGACATCACCTCCTCAGAAAGGTCTTCCGTGGACTTCCACTCTGAAGTTGCCACCCTATCACTCTGCAGCACACCACTTTGTTTTAATCTACATACAACATCGGTACTAGATGCATCCTTGTTGCTTGTTATCAAGCTCTGCAAAGGCAGAATCCTTGTCCATCTCATTCCCTGATGTGACTGAGTGCCTGGGCAGAGACGGGCACACAGTAACCGCACAAAGAAGGCTGGTGGACACCCTTGAGCAGAACACAGTGGTTAAAGGAACCAGCCACAAAGTCAGACAGATCGAGATGCCAATACTAAACTAGCTGTCTGACCTGAGGCCAGTTAGAGTCTGTGTCTCGATTTCCTCATTTGTAAAAGGGAGGTAATGATAATGCTATGAAGTTTATTCAAAATGGTGGATGTTGGACTTTTAGAATGGTTTTGGGCATGTGGTGAGTGAATTGTAAATTGTAGCTATGGCCTTCATCATCACCATCACTATCACCACTATCATCATTGTCACCAATACCATCATTATTATCACCACTATCATCACCATCCCCACCACCACCACCATCAGCAGCATCACGATCACCACCACCACCACCACCATCATCGTCACCAACACCATCATTATTATCACCACCATGATCACCACCACCATTACCACCGCCATCATCATCACCAGCACCTTCATTATCATTACCATCACCACCACCATTGACACCACCACCACTGACACAACTATCACCACCGCCATCACTACCAACCACCACCAGCAGCACCATTACCATCATTATCATAACCACCACCACCATCGCCATCCCCACCACCATTACCATCATAACCATCACCATCACCACCACCATTACCACCACCATCATGGTCACCAACACCATCATTACCATTATCATCACCACCATCACCACCACCATTGACACCACCACCACTGACACCACAACTATCACCACCGCCATTACTACCAACCACCACCACCAGCACCATTACCATCATTATCATAACCACCACCACCATCGCCATCCCCACCACCATTACCATCACCACCACCATCATCACCACCACCATCACCAACACCATCACCAACACCATCATTATCATCACCACTATCACCACCACAACCACCATTGACACCACCGTTGACACCACCACCATCATAATCACCACCACCACCACCATCACTATCATCATCACCACCATCACTACTACCACCACCATCACCATCATTACCATCATTATAATCACCATCATCACCATAGCCACTCCATGTGCTTGCCACTGTGTCCTGTAAGGAGTGCCATGTCAAGGGCCAAATGATGGGAGATGGATGGACTAGGGTCTTCCTGCTCTGGGAACCACAGACTGCTCTCCCTGGTGGATGGCTGGGCCTGAGAGAGGAAGTGTGGTGACACCCTCCCACATGACAGCAGTCCCTGGAGGTGAGGGGGACAGGGAAGGCGTGGCTTTCTTTGGGATAATGAACCCCATGTGCAGCACTTTTGGCTCTGCAGATGTGATGCTTGTTGCCATGGTGACTGTCCTAACAATAACCTCCCAGAACTGATATTCCCCACACCCTCCCCAGCTGCCACCTGGGAGGGAGAGCCCTCCTCGTTTACGAAAGCAAGCTTGAAAGGACAAGGTGGGAGGCAGAGATGACACGGGGGTGGGGGTGAAAGTGGGCCCTTCCTGAAGGTAGGGGTGAGAAGAGGGGGAAGTCTGGGCCTCTCTGACCAGAGCCAAAACCAGATGAGAGGGCTTTTGGAATCTGGGACCAGAGGTCATGGCTGGAAGACTTTCTCCCTTCTAGCCATTTCCCTCTGCTAGGGAGAAGCCCTCTGGGTCTGAGGGTGGGGAGTGGGTTGTTTTTTGAGTGTCTGTGTGGGGTCAGGCTGTCTGGGTAGGGACATTCTGGCTGCCTCTGATAGCCCAGTCCTTCCCCACTGTCTGGTGCCCAATCATGCCAACTTTCCTGTGCTCGCCAGGGTAGCTCCACTTCATACCTCTAATACTTCAGCTCGGAGGAGGGACTGCCTGGGGGTCCCAGGTGCTAACAGGTACAAAAGACGGGGAGAAGTACAGGATACAATGAATCTAAAATTGCATCTCTTAGTGACCCCACATTCTTGTGTAACCCTGGTCCTGGGCAGCTTCTCAACTTTTGAAAGATGACCTCAGCCGGGTGCAGTGGCTCATGCCTGTAACCCCAGGACTTTGGGAGGCCGAGGTGGGTGGATCACCTGAGGTCAGGAGTTTGAGACCAGCCTGGCCCATATAGCAAAACCCCATCTCTACTAAAAATACAAAAATTAGGGTGGCGGGTGCCTGTAATCCCAGCTACTCGGGAGGCCGAGGCAGGAGAATTGCTTGAGCCCAGGAGATGGAGGTTGCAGTGAGCTGAGACTGTGCCACTGCACTCCAGCCTGGGCAACAGAGTGAGACTCCATGTCAAAAAACAAAACAAAAAACAAAAACCAAGAAAGATGACCTTATAAAAGACTACCGAGTGTGCTGCCATGTCCACCACTCAGGGCTCCAGGAAGCCGTGTAAGTGTGGGTCTGTTTGTATGGATGTGTTTGTTGGTATGTGTGTGTTTGTGTGTGTGTGTGTGTGTGTGTGGAAGGCAAAGGAGGTTTTATGGGACACTGGGGTTTGAGTCATAGTCATTCCATGGCTGTGTGACTGTGGGTAAATTACTGTACCTCTCTGTCTCTCCATTATCCCATCAAGTAAAATGGGGATAATAATAGTACATGCTTAATAGGATTGTTTCAGAATTAAATGAGATAGTACATGTAAACTGCACAATCAGTGTCAGCTGTCATTAGGATGCCAGCACCACTTTATCATCTCCTGAACATGCTGGTAGGAGTGTGTGTGGTTTCATAGTAGCCTGCAAAGAGTCCAACTTACAGAGGGGTGCAATTTTCTTTTGTTTGTCTTGTTATTTGTATTCTTTTTCTTGAGACAGGGTCTTGCTCTGTCACCCAGGCTGGAGTGCAGTGGCTTGATCTCAGCTAACTGCAACCTCTACCTCCCAGGTAGAAACGATTCTCATTTGGGATTATAGGCAATGGGCCACCACACCCGGCTAATTTTTGTATTTTTAGTAGAGCCGGGGTTTCACCATGTTGGCCAGGCTGCTCTCAAACTCCTGACCTCAGGTGATCCACCCACCTTGGCCTCCCAAAGTGCTGGGATTACAGGCGTGAGCCACTGTGCTTGGCTTGTTATTTGTATTCTATTGTGTGGCCCTACCTCGTCTTTCCAGAGCTCAGAAAGGGAAAGTGCGGATGCTTCCAGCAGGTGCTGGAAGAAACTCCTGTGGGGTTAAACACAACGCCAAGAACAAACCTCAGACTTGGCCTCCAGTCCTTTCTCGAGTCCATGCCAGTCTGTCTGTTAGGATGGCCCAGGGTTCTCTGAGTCCAAGTTTGACATGGATGGGGTCTCCCTTCCTGCTATGGTCCTGCTGAAGTCAAGGTCAGGATCCCTCTGCCTCCTCAGCTGGGGACTTCCCCAGCTGGCCCAGCATTTGCCTTTGGCCTGAGAGTTTCTTGTCCTCTAGTGTCTTCTGGGTGCAGGTGGGTCGATGGCAGGGACTTGTTGCCGTGTGGTCTACTAATTGCCCAGCAGTCCTATGCCAAATGCATCCTGGCCCAGAAGGGCCCTGGCTGCCGGCACTCAGAATCCCTTTATCCCCTCCCTTATCCACACAACATTTATTGTGGCTTCTGGGGCTTGCTCTGGGCTGGCCACGAGGTGAGAGGGATAAGCAGGATAGGCCCAGAATTGGTCCTTGGGGAGCAGTAAGGAGGTCATGTCAGGGCAGCAGCGTGACCCAAATCCAGAGCTGGCTGCTGGAAACCCCCTCCTCAGAGCCTGCCCAGGATAGACCCTGTCAGAGGAGAGTGTGGGGTTGCTGGAGCCCAGTGGTCTAAAGTCCTGGTTCTGGTTCTGGACAGCGGCCCTGGTGCCAGGACTCAGGGAAGGCTGTTTTGTGGGAAACCGGGTCGGCCCTGCCTCCTGCCTGCTTCCCTGCACTCTCCTCCTCCTTGGCCTCCAGGACGGCTTTCAAGAGGGGGTTGGGGTGTGTGGGCTCTCTTCCTCTAGGCAAAAGCAGGGGGCAGACAGGTGGACCATGCTGGAAAAGGGGAGAATGTGTACCCTTACCTGAGCAGGGTGGTTATGAGCTCTCAGGCCCCCCAAATTGCTGATGGAGCAGCCCCTGTTTCCCTGGCTCAGGGTCCCTTGGCCTGGACTCCGAATGTCGCCTCCTGGGACCTCCATTCCAGACACCCCAGCAACCGTTCTCTGGAGAAGTGAGGGGGAAGGGAGGGGCTGGGACCAAGGTGAGGGAGCAGGCCCCACCCCTTCACTTTTTCATGCTAGTGTCCCAGTGTGTATGTCCGGCCTTCTGGGCGGCTCCTCCTCGCCAGGCAGCCTTTGTGACATGTGTGGCTGATGGAGACTGGGCAGGAGGGATCTGGCAGCATCTCTTCCTGAGGGTGTGAGGAATGAGTCCTGTGGAGGGCAGCACATGAGCCCTCGGCCTCCATGTGGGCCCCAGTCCCCTCCTGCTGTCAGGCTAGGTGGGCCTTCGAGGGAGAGAGGAGGCTGCGTTCATTATGTGCACTCTTCTGTGTTATGTGAGAGCGAGGGGTCGCCAGCAGCAAGTGGCCTGCGTGCGCGAGGTGCGGGCGTGGTGCGGGTACAGAATGAAGGCGTCAGTACAGGGCGCGGGTGTGTGTGCGGGGTGCGGGGTGCGGGGGCGGGCGCGCGTGTGTGTGCAGGTGCAGGTGCAGGTGCGTTGCGGGTGCGGGCCACGGGTGTGTGTGCAGGGCGCGTGTGCAGATGCAGGGCGCGGGTTCCGTGCGGGTGCGGGTGCAGGAGCAGTGTGTGCAGGGCGCGGGGAAGGCGCGTGCAGGGGGCGGCGGGCGGGCGGGGCGGGCGCGGCGGCGGCGGCGGTGACAGCGGCGCCCGCGCCTCCCCGCGCGTAGGTGTGCGGCGCGCTCCTGGCGAGGACGGAGCGAGCAGATCTCGCGTGCGCTCGCCGCCAGGCGCAGCCCAGCCCGGCCCCCGCCTGGCGCCGCGAGCCGAGGTGTCTCCCGCGCCCGCGCCCGTGTCGCCGCCGTGCCCGCGAGCGGGAGCCGGAGTCGCCGCCGCCCGAGCGCAGCCGAGCGCACGCCGAGCCCGTCCGCCGCCGCCATGGCCACCACGGTGACCTGCACCCGCTTCACCGACGAGTACCAGCTCTACGAGGATATTGGCAAGTAAGAGCCGCGGCACGCGCGGGCTGGGCCGGGGACCCCAGAGGGCCAGGACCTCCGGGACCCTCAGCGCCGCCGGCTCCGGGCGCACTGCGGCCCCGCGCGCTGCCGGCTTCTCTGGGCTCCGGGCCCAAGCGCACGGCCCCGCGCGGCCCCGACCCCCGAGCCCCAGGCCCCGGGCCCGGTCGCCGGACCTCAGCGCGCGCGGCCCTCTCCAGCTCTGCCCAGCGCGGCTGCCGGGCCGGGGCTCTGGGCTCGCGACTTGGCGCGGCGGGGGCGGCAGCAGGTGTCCCCGGAGCTCCCGGCAGACGTGACGCATTTGGCGGCGGGGAGGTCAGAGAGGAGGGGCGCGCGGGGGCGGCCGCCGGGCCTGGAGCGCCAGGAGGGGTCGGCTGCGGCCCCAGAGGGTCGTCCCCCGACGCGGGCACGCTGTCCCCACCCCCACCCGAGCGGCAGGCGGCGGGGGTGGCGGGACCTGCTTGCGCCTGCTCCTGCGCGTGGCCCCATCCGCGCGGGGGGTGCCGGCGTGGGAGAGCCTCTGCTGTAGGTCTCCTGGGGAATCTGGGTTCTGGAGGATTTTCCCCCAGATTCTTCTGGAAACAGGAATTTGGAGGTGTGGGGAGGACGAGATCAGGGAGCCTGGATCAGGTCATGGGGATAAGGGGGAGAGATTAAGATCCTGATTGGGTTGCAAATTTCAGGGTCATCGAGGTGGGTGGGGGCTGGATTTTGGACCGTTGGCGGGGGCACTCTAAAGGGGAAGGGGCTTTGAAGGTTTGTTTGAAGTGGGACCTCACGGGGAACAGGTGCTGTGGCTCCCGTTCTCTGCTCAGCAGTATGAGCAGTGTGGGGCGAAGGTCTGGTTTGGGTCCCCCAGACCCGGCTTTGCCCCTGGGGTCAGAGATGGGGAACGCCTCAGGGGCCTCCTGTCTGGCCTGGGGTCTCCCGTCTGAGAATCAAGGTGGCTGCACCTGGCATCCCCAGGGCTAGCTTCAGAACTCCCGAATCTCCAGCCTGACTGGGCCAGAGCCCCATCCTCCTCCGTCCTCCCCCATCCTCCTCCGTCCCTTCAGTGCAGGCGGTGGGGGCGCTGGCGGTGCTGGCGAGATTTCCTCTTACACATCCAGCACTGATCCTTTTTTTCCTTTACTAAATAAGTGTCTGGTGAAACCTTGTGGTGGGTGAGGGACGCTGATCATTGATAATTGTGGAGTGCGGAGCTGGAGGAGTGTGGGGGTGTGTTCATTCCCCACTTCTCCCTGCACGTGTGGAGAGGATTTGGGTAGGGGGTGGAGATGTGGCGCTCAGCCCTGTGCAAGAAGCCCATGCTGGATCGGTGGGGTGAGGGGCCAGGCCGGCTGGGGGACCCTTCCTTGGATGGGTCTGGAGAGCACCCCAGAGCTGAGACCTCGAGGGAGGGGTCAGGCCCAGCCCCCTTCATGGGGATCCCTAAGTGGGTGGCTGGCTCCCCCGTCTTCACCCCTCAGATGCACAGATCTACCCCTGCCTGTCCTCTTGGCCTCCAGAGGTGTCCTGGCCGCTGGAAGGGCAGGTGGGTAGCAGTTAATGTGCCTGGTTCTCAGAGGAAGAGAGCGGCAGTGGGAAGTCAGTCTTTCCTCAGGGGCCTTCTTGTCGTCTTCTCTGCTTGTGCCCAGAAGCACAGAGGCCCTCACAGCAGGTGTCCCTGGTCTTCCCCAAAGAAGCCACTTTCAAGACGTTCCCATGTACCCCAGTGTCCTCAGCCTGCAGCTCACTCTGGCTGTTCCTTCTCCCCTTTGCTGCGAGCCTCCCTGCATCCAGTGGCAGTGTCAGGGTGGCCAGCTCCCCACTGAGCCTCCAGTTCCAGCACAGCTGGATGTCCTGGCCAGTGCCACCCACACTGGGGAGTGAAGGTCTTTGGGGCTGCCTGGGGGAGGTTGAGAGAGGTGGCTCCAGAGGTGGAGACCAGGTGGGGCTAAGACTGCTGGGCTTCTCTCTGAAGCCGGAGAATGAGCCGCTGCTGGAAGGGAGTGTGGCCTCCTGAGCGAAAGCACTGGGAGCCATGCCGTGCGAGGTGAGGAGTGGAGCCTGGCATCGAGGGGAGCCCCGTGACCTGGGACAAGAGGAGATGCCCAAGCCAGGAGCTGGCAGCTCAGCGCAGTGCACCTTTCTGGAGCCCTGCTAGGCGCCGGGTCCCTGGGGACGCCAAAGGCCTGCCACTGCCATGCTGTGGCGGCTCTGGGGTAGGGAAGGGACTGATTCCTAGGGGGTGCAGCCGTGCCATAGAGGTGGGTCAGGGAGCGGGGAGGGCAGAGCAGGGCACCCAAGGGGGATGTCTGAGGCCAGGGCTCAGTTGTGGGCACTCAGCCCTTTTGTAGCGCTGGGGTCCCTTGGTTGATACGTTGGCTGGTTGTTGACAGTGCCTGCCCGGGGCACAGTTGGTGTTGCTTCCTGGCCTCAGGTGGACATGTCCAAGTTTATTTAAAGCTGCAGCCACTGGCACCCAGTCAGGTCTCACTGAGCTCCCTGCCCAAAGGAAGGACTTGGCCTCAGGCCCACAGCTGCTCATGTGTGACGAGGCCACTGGCCTTTCCCCTCCCTTGCCCCATCCTTTTCTGCTGTCTCTGCTCCCGAATCTTCCCCGGAGGCCTGGGCAGCAGGGTCAGCCAGCCAAGAGGAGCCGCTTTCTGGGGCCCTGCCCTGCCCAGTTCTATAGGGAGTGTGTGCCCTTCCCTGCTCAGCCTGACACTTCTCACAGACACTAGCCTGGTGGCCCATGTGGGAGCAGTTACAGAGCAAGGCAGGGAAGCCCTCAGCCTGGCATGGCCCAGCCAACAGTGCAGTTTTAATTTTTTTATATTCGATAAACTTTAAAGATCCAGAAAAATCCCAGGAATAATAAAATGAACATAGTATCTCTTCTACCCAGAATTGAAAATGGTTAATCTTTTGTCATTTTGGCTTTAAGTCCTTTTTTACAAAAAATTATAAGAAGTATTCCAAAGAAATATTAAGTAACCCATTTTCTTCCAACTACTGCTTTCGTCTTTTTCCTCCCAGGCTCTTTTGGGTACATTTACACATGGATATAAGTATCCATAACTAATATAGAGGATTCTTTTGTGTGGGTGTTTTTCTTAACTTTACGTAAAAAACCTGGAACTTGTACTTTTCACTCAGCAGTCTTGTTGACACCTGTGCTTGTTGATGTGTTTAATTGCGGGCTCCTGCATGGCGACCTGTAGTGTGAACTCTGTCCTGCCTGCCCCTCTCCCAACGGAAATCTAGGTTGTCTCCTGTGTTCCATTGTCACCCAGCACACTGTGGCCAGCACCATCACGGCCAGGGCCCTGAGTGCGTCTGGGGTGCAGGTGTGAGAGTTTCTTTAAGGTGTGTCCCTGGCAGTGGGGCTGCCGAGGAGGGTCCGCCTGTCTCTCTGTAGGTGCCGCCACTCTCCCTGCTGTGTCCACTCGCACAGCAGTGTGGGGGCCGCCCCTTCCCCTGGATGCTGCCATTTGTAGGGTTGGTAGGTTGTCAGTGTTGACAGGTTGTCAGTGTCGACCGTTTGTCGGGTAGGAAGAGGTCTCACATTTTGCATTCATCCTCATGAATCTTCCATTTTTGGGGAGTTGTCTCTTTTCAAACATGGAGATCTCCCTAGAAAAAAGCATCTCCCACGAGGTTTTGGATATCATTTCAGGGGTTCATGGGCCCCTCCTTTTCTGGGGGAGATGGCAGCTAGGGCTTGTGGGCCATGTTGTAACAACACCTAATGTGTACATTACTTTAAATGTTTGATTTTATTTGATTCGAATTGTCCAGAAAGGCCCTTCTCCCCAGCCCCATTTTACAGACAAAGAACTGAAGTTCAGGAAAGGCTGGCAACTTGCCCAAGCCCAGGAAGCGAGAAGGGCCCCTGAACTCCAGTCCAGGGCATCTCCTACCCCTTCCATCTCTCCCACTAAACCTCAGATAGGCCCAAAACTGACCTTGATATGTCCTTGACTCCATCCAGTGGTACCCCAGTCGCCAGAGAGCAGGCTGTATCCTGGGGCGTGTGTGGCCTGACTGCTAGCGGGGGCATCACTGTCAGCTGGCGGATGCCTTCTGCCGAGAGGCACACTGTGAACCAGCGAATGGCCTGCTAGGTAGTTAATAGATAAACTTAGGAAATTCAGAGCAAATCAATTTTTGAGTCTCCAAGCTCTGAGCCGGTTGCCAGGGAAGAGAGGAATGGAGGAGGAGGGATCATTGTATTTGCTTTCTCCCTCCCCAGAGCACACCAGGCACTCCCTGCCTCAGGGGCCTTGGCCAGGCTGCCTCTCTTCCCCTGACCCCTCATAGCTTACTCCCTTGGGCTGCTCAGCAGGCTGTCCCAGACGCCCCCCATCCCTCCCCTTTTGCCTCCCCACGCCTCCCTGCCCCTCCCCCCCAACTTGTCTTCTCCCTGGCACTTTGCTCCATCTGATGTGCTGGACAGCTTACCCACAGAGAGGCGGAGGTCCGGTCCTCTGCCCATGGCTGTGTCCCCAGTGCCTGGCCCGAGGAGGGGAAGGGGTGAGTTGGGTGGGCCTCTGCCTTCCGGCCTGGCTCCCAGGAGGCCAGCAAGAGTCCTCCTGGTCTTGATTCCTTAATGTAGGGTAGTTTAAAAAGAAGTCGCACATGCTGAGATTGCTGGCAAGATGTGCATTAAGGTGATGCTAGTTTAGTTACTATTTAATGGTATTTTTATACCATAACCTACTTTGCTGAGAGCTAAGAATATATCTGCATGCTTGCTACCAGGACTCTTTTCTTTTCTGGTAACAGTTGCTAGTGCTTAAATGGTGCTTATTATATTAACGTGCTAGATCTGTGAAGTAGGTACTGTAATCATCCCAAGTTTACAGGAGAGGTAGCTGAGGCACAGAGAAGCCCCATTCCTCAGAAAAGGTCACACAGGGTCAGGATTTGAATCCACATTCTGCTCCTCTCGGAAGCTCATTACCCTACTCTACTCTGTGCTTCAAAAATGCTGTAACTCC